CCCTGCCCAGCCTGGACTGGTGCCTGGTTCATTGTCAGCTGGTTTATGGTGGGTTTAAAGTGTTGACTACTTCCCTGAGCCCGGGTGTGCAGTGAATTGTTGTTTATTCCCTTCTGTCTCCTAGAGTGTGAGCCCATCGAAGCGATAGCGAAGTTCGACTACGTTGGCAGGACTGCCCGAGAGCTGTCCTTTAAAAAAGGAGCTTCTCTCCTGCTCTACCAGAGGGCCTCAGATGACTGGTGGGAGGGACGGCACAACGGGATCGACGGCCTCATTCCTCACCAGTACATCGTCGTCCAGGACACGTACGTTGGGCTCCAAACCCACCTTCCAGAGGGACTCGCTTAGAGCTCAGCTGTGGGGTGCAGGGTGTGCCTCAAGGTGTTGGCACCAGGTGGGGAGGGGTCGTCCTTGGACCTTCCCTGCAAGGAGGGAGCAGAGGGCCAGGGGTCCACGCACGTGGGGGTGTGAAATAGATGGTTGTGGTGCTGCCAGGCTCTGGGAGCTGCAGGGCTGGGGTCTCTGGGTTGCTCACAGAAATCAGTCTCTCCCACTGGAATCATTGCACAATGATTCTCAAGAGAGAGGTGCTAGCACAGGGCTGTTGTGCTGTCTGTGGGCTGACATACACAGGGCTGTGTTTGACGTTCGGTGCTGTTGGTCCTGGTTGTGATTTCCTTCCCTCCTCCTCCCCAGTGAGGATGGTACCTCTGAAAGGTCCAGTCCGAAGTCTGAAATAGAAATAAACTCTGAGCCACCAGAAGAAAAGGTGACTGCTCGAGCTGGTGCCAGTTGCCCAAGTGGGGGTCACGTCGCAGATATTTACCTTGCAAACATCAACAAGTAAGAACAGCCTTGCTTTGTTTTACTGAGCTGTAGAGATCTTGGTGATAAGTCCAGTCAAGTATTTCCTTCCCTGGCAAAGGTTAACTAGTGAGCCCTGCCACTGTGTTTCTCTGCTTCCCCTCATCTAACTTGCTCCCATTTTGCTGTCCTCTCTCTCTCTCTCTGTCACCAGTGTGGCCAATGCTCATTTAAAACCCCACTGGCTTCTCTTCCCTATCCCTAAGGTGCCATCTGTTCCCATTTGCCCAAATATGTCCTATTTTAGAAGCTAAGCACACAGAGAAAGGGGAGGGGAATAGCAGGATGAGTTCCTGTAATCGTGTGTTCCCTTTTGTTGTTATGTTCTGTGGTTTGTTATGTCTCGTTTACATTTAACATGTTTTGGTTTATGGGGTGGGGGACAATTTCTTCAGAAGCTAGTGTCACGTTTTGGGCTTAAATGACATGCCTCAAGTCCCACCATCTGGCATCACCCCTAACATTCTTGCATTTCTCCAGCACTTCTCACCTTAGGTTACTAACCATATGCTTGCAGTGCACCAACACACCTCCCTGTTGCTCTGACTTTACCTTCTCAACCAGAAATTGCTACTTTAGCCAACACTCAACATAATTAAAAAAAAATGGGAAATAAAGCTAGTAACTGACTAAATTTCTTAATCTGATATTTAATTATTCTAGAGCAGACTTATCCCCTGTATCTTTTAGATTATTTCCTTAGTATTCAAACCCCTCACCTCTGTTGTGCAGTGAAGGTATTAATGTGATAATTACAGTTTGATGGGAGTGGATATTTTTAACCTTCAGTTAATTGAACTGAATGTAGGCTATAGAGGCAGTAGGAGAAATGCTTCCTTTTAAAAGCTTTGGACCTGCTCATGTCCTACCCAGAGCCTGGTCCTTAGTTTATGGGAGTCAGCAGAGCTCTCCTGATATCTGTGAAGCTCTGTCAGTCTGCATCAGCTTGGGATCTGGGCTTTCTTCTGTGGTGCTGATTGTCTGAGCCAGTGAATGATGCCATTCTGCCAGTTATGGAAAGATTTCTCTGATGAGCAGACCTAGGTTGGAGCTTCACCATCTGCTGGTTGTGGTAGAGTTGTGTGTAGTGTTTTTAAGAAGCCTGGGTAATGTCCACTCCATTTTTTTTTTTTTCCCTTTACTAGGGAAACTGATATTTAGCAATAGTAGCATAAGACTCATTTTGTTGTTTTTTCTTTAGGAATGAATCTTCTGACCTATGTGTGAACAGACTTGAGCAAAATTAAATCAGATGGTTTCGCAATGACAGTTGTGCCACCCACTGAATTATTATTTGGATGCCAAAATCCTACTGGAGTTAACACTTTCTTGCAGTTATTCATGGGGCTGGTGCTATATATAAATGGATCCTTCCTGTATAATGGATGCCAAGCTTCAGACCTATGGCATAAAGTATTCTGCTGCATTGGCCTTCATATGATTGAACGGAAACGTGCTGTCAGAACTCATGGTGCTGGGGTAGAAACTAAATTGTTTGGACCAGCTCATCCATTTGACATCATCTTTTGGTATATCTGTAGCCCTACACAGATAATGGCTTGTGGTCCTGCTAAAGCAATGAAAAAGAAACATCTGTTACCACCAGCAAATACTGGAAATGATCATTAACCCCAAACTCTGGGGTTCTTTGCTTGCCAGACTCTGAAAACAATAACTTGATGCCTTGGGCCAGGAGCTTAGTAGACTTATACTGTGTCCTCCAGTCAAAGATTGTAGCTCTGCTCTTCTAATGTAATAAAAATACATCATCAAAACCTGTCGATGGCACAGAGGTTTTTTTTTTTTTTGTTCAAATACATAAATTCTTTTCCTCCTGACCAAGTTAATTACGTTCCACCCAAGTTTTCTGGTTTTGCCATGAATGTGCACAGCTGCCAGAAACTCAGTCTTGTTGTTAGAGGTGACCAACTGGAATGCTTTATAATCCTGCTGTTTCACAACGACTCCTTAAACCCCGGGTGTGTTTGTAATCTGGGTATCTGTACGTCTCTTCCCATTGTCCTCTGTGTCGTTTTGGGGGGATGTCTTCAAATTACAGCCCTTTTATGTTGTGCCTGCTTGTATTGACTTGTTTTGCTTTTGTGACTGAAGGCAAAGAAAGAAACCAGAGTCAGGCAGCATCAGAAGAGCCTTCCGTCAAAGTGACAGCCATGGACTAGGTAGCTCAATGGCAGAACCAGCCTCCCCAGGAGCCATAGCCGGTTCCAGACCCTCATCTCAGCCCATTATGAGCCAAAGTCTTCCCAAGGAGGTTCCAGATAAATGCTCCATCAGTGGCCACGGCAGCCTCAATTCCATCAGCCGACACTCCTCTCTGAAGAACAGGATCGACAGCCCCCAGATCCGCAAAACGGTGACAGCAGGGAGGTCCAAGAGCTTCAACAACCATCGGCCCATGGACCCTGAGGTTATTGCACAGGTAAAGAGGAGGGCTTGGCCTTGAAGGATTTGTTTTGGAAAGCTGAAGGGTGTTGGGTACAATGAGGTGCTTTACAGCAGAGCCGGGGTGGGAGCTCGTATCCCTTTCCTTCTCTCAGAGCAATATTCACTCACTGCACAGCTTGAGTCTAGTCTTTCAGCCTGGCTTTGTGCAAGTCACTGAGGCTGCTTTCATGAGCAAAGATAAACAGTCAGGTCCTTCCTCCGTAAAAACTTGGCCCTGTTCATGATTCAGAATTCAGTTTCAACAATAAAAACATCCATTTCAGAAAGTTAACACAGATTCCAAAGCTGTCAGCAAAAAATTAAACAGTCATAACTTCAAGACAGGAGAAAAGTAAAGTATTTAGTGTCAGTTTAACATTCCCCTGTCAGTTGTGCAGACTTGCCTGTGGTTAGACACTGGAAGCATATGGAGTAGTGCAGTCAAAATAAAAGCAGGCTGCTGGGTGGTGCAGTGCTCACAGTGGCATCTTTATACACTTCCAGGCTTCCACGTGTGATTAGGAACCAACTTTGAACATAATCCTGCTCGTTTTCAGTAGTTTGGTATTTAGACCAGTGTATTGCAGGTTCTGGGTCTCTGTGGGTAGTCTCAGCATCCCTACACACAGAGATCTGTCCCCTCCCTGTGTTGGGGACTGGAAGCTGCCACAGCAGCAGTTGCTTGAGGAAAACACAAGTGCTGTCTTTGCATCCCTGCCTCTGTGGTTCCACAAGCACCACAGAAAACCCATTGAAGGTCAGACTTCGATTTGAAGGAGTAACAGCTCCCACTGGGGTGGATGATGTGAACATTGCAGATTCCCCTCGTCCATCAGGGCTCTTCCCTTTCTCCCTGTGAGCTGCTCGGTGTGCCTGCACACGCGTGTCGCCCCTACCAACTGTTCCCAGTGTGCCAGGGATCTATCTAAAGCCAAGGAATGCTCAGTCTCCAATTACACAGCCCTGGGAGACCCAGCTTCCCTGCCTGGGTCAGGAGTCTGTGGGTTTCTAAGGAGCTGGGGGAAGATATGTGAAAATTAAACATCATTTTTTATCGACGGAACAGCAACGTCACATAATAAATAAGGCCCAAATAAAAAGTCTGATGCATACTCTGATGGAAGGTTGTGTTTTGCTGTTAGGAATATCTTTAGCCCATCTATTCCAGTGGAATTATAATATATGGTTCTTATTGTCTTCATATTTCATTGTCCTTCCAAGGCTTCGGTGGACATAAATCAGTTTCTTTGTTTTTTCAATTAAGCTCTAACTGAAGTTATTCTGTCTCCTCTCCCTGCCAGAATGTTAACTCCATTGTTTTCACTGGAGAAGAGTATGGGGAGAAAAAGGAAAGGGGGGGGGGAAAGAAAAGTGGAGGGGGAAAAAAAAGTGCTGCATTAAATCAGTGTTTCTCTTTGCCCTGTGCTATCTGTTCAAACACCACCTAATAATCATCATGCTTTTTAACATATTTTCCTGAACTTCCTAAGTAAAATCTGCCCGGCCTCGAGATAGACTCGGGGGTGTCAGATTTCTGTCTCTGGTTTCTTCCACCATTCCTTGACTGATTTACCTTCCCCACCCCCTGAAAAACCTCTAAGGGAGCTAAAAGGCTGTAGCCAAGCTGTGAGTCAGAGAAGGGCCGAGCTCCTCTGCTCTCCAGCAGCTCTGCACCGGTGGGCTCCACGGCACGGGCTGCAGCTCCCGTGGAGGTTCTGCTCCAGCTGGGAACCAAAAATCCATGTTTTTATCTCAAGGTTCTCTTTGTAGTTATTTGTTAAGATCTGCAGGCTTTTGTAAGAGGAAGGAAAAGTGCCAGCTTGAATTTCTAGGTTTCTGATACCTTCCATGCTTTCTAAAACATGAAAATGTTGAGTCCCCTGTGATACCCTTCTGGGGAAGGGAATCCAACTCAGACAGCAAGAAAACCCATGAGGCAGCAAGAGCACACATGGATTTCAGCACTGGGTGTTTGGCCCCTCAGCCAGAGTCAAAGTCATCGATCCTTTCTTTGAGAGTTGACTCTCCTGAATCTCACATGCCAAATAAAGTACCAGAAGGGGTCCTGGTAGCCTGAATCACACATTTTTCTGTTCGTTGCTGCATTTGGGGATTGTACTTGTCTTTGAAGTCCAAGCAGCTTGGAATAGTCCTTGACTCAGGACCAAATTAGCATCGAGAGAGTGCTAGCAATTACTTTGCTGCCTGTTGATGGAAACTATTGCTGCTTATTGCCTACAGGACCTGGTGCCCTGCGGTTTGGCGTGGGTTTCACTTTGACACCTCACGGTCCTCAACCTGCCAGTTGATTTGAGCGTTGCTGTTGCAGGCTGAAAACAAACACGTCCTTCTCCAAGGCTGCCTTTGATCTCTGTCTTTCCACACCGGGGTTCTGTTACTCACTTGGGCTCCCTTTTGTGTTTGCAGGATATCGAAGCTACTATGAACTCTGCTCTGAACGAGCTGCGGGAGCTGGAGAGGCAGAGCAGCGTGAAGCACACGCCAGACGTCGTCCTCGACACCCTGGAGCCTTTGAAAACCTCTCCAGTGGTGGCCCCCACCTCGGAACCTTCCAGCCCTCTGCACACCCAGCTCCTGAAGGACACTGAGCCCGCTTTCCAGCGCAGCGCCAGCACGGCCGGGGACATCCCCTGCACCTTCCGCCCCGTCAAGTCGGTGAAGATGGCCACGCAGGTGAAGCCTCCGGCCACCCGCCCCAAGCCCACCCTCTTCCCCAAAACCAGCACCACCAGCCCCAGCGTCACCTCCTCTGCAACTCAGCAGCCCCCCGACAAGTCCTGTACTGTCTGAGCAGCTCGGTGCTGCTCTCTGGGTACCGCCCGCCCTCTGGCAGAGGAAGAGACTCCGTGGAGGACGTTCCAGCTCCTATTTAATTACTGAACTTCTGCTGGAGGTTCGTTGTGAACTGCTGCGTGCTGCTGGGAGAGCTTCTGGGAGTGAACTGAGCGGTGGCAGCCTCGTCCCACGTACCCGCATGGGTGATGGTCCTAAGGCAGAACAGCCCCTGCCAGGCTCAGGACATCCAGCGTGGGGTCACTGTGAAGCTGAGCAGGAAAACACACACACAAAAAAAACAATGATTTGGATCCTGGTTTCTAGTTGATGCCTTGTTGAAGTGTTTGGCCGCTTAAAGAAACACTTGATGGCATCACGGTTTTGGATACTGGTGTAGTGACTTCTATATTCTGTGTTTCATTTACCACAGGGAAACAATAGGATAGATTTTAGTCTACTGCATGTTTTGGTGCCACTGTTCACGTGGAGCTTGGACATGCCTGTTTCTTGTGCATTCTTATTATTACTATTATGTTGCCCGCTGGTGCCACGGTGGTTAAGGGTCTGTCTCGACTTCCATCACATCCTCTGGTTTTGTTTGTTTGCTCCCCAGCTCCTCCCTGCCAGGCCAAAGCCCTTGGCCACCCAACCTCATCCTTTAGTCGACACTTGTCATGAAAAATAGTTTACTCTGGAACACTCTTAGATTTTGTGGAGTTATACGTAATTATGTGTCTGTGCAAATATAAACAAACATGTTCCTGAGGTTTAGGAGCATAAGAAAGAGCCCAGTTGTTGCTTCTGGACAATCTAGCTGTTTCCCCCCTTTGCTCTCCCGTATTTAAAAACAGTTTTATTGGGTTTTTTTGCCGTGTCATTTTTCAGCCCCTCGTCTCTGATGTGATGTGTGCTCTTGGGAGACTGAATGTAAAAACAAGTTAACTTTTGGAAACTACACGTTCTCTGACAGGAGGTCACTTACTAACGCACACGTTCTCCTTCTGATCCTACATCAGGGTGGGACCTTACCAAAATCCCAGTTACAAGCACTGTAAGAACTTCAATCAGGAGTTCTCGAGCTTTGCATCTCCTCCCTCCTCCTCCTCCTCCTCCTCCTCCTGGCTGCCAACGCTTCGGTCGGTGGCTGTGACTGCTGCGAGCTGCTTTAGGGCTCTCTGCTCTCATAGAGCGCTGTAGGAGACGCTGCTGGGGACGGTGAGGTGACCACGGGCAGCTTCTGGAGCAGGTTCCTGCATCTTCGTGGCAGGCTGGCACGGCTCCCTAGGACTCTGCAGAGATGGGAGCAGGTTCTCTGTGTTTGTATTTATCCAGTAGGCAGCAAACGCTTCGGCCGCCAGCAGCCTGCATGAACTCCTTAGTACTCAGTTTCCTGAGAATTCTCCACAATGCTAAACTTTATTTAATTTTCACAAATAAAAGGCATGTGCCACTTGCAAGGGTTAAGAAGATCTCGCAGTCCAGCAAGAGAGGAGACTCCGGCTGACCCCTCGGTTCACCCTGTTCCCAAACTTTTCTGGGATTTAATAAAATAAGCTGCACATCCTACACTTTGATCAAATTCAGGCAAGGACAAGATAAGAAAAGTCATTTTTTTCTCTCCCATTTAGCTGAGTTTCCTTGAAATTCGTGGGTTTCTCACACTCTGCTTCCTTGTGGCTGCAGTGTCATTTTAATTGGCACTTCATAATCAAAAAAAATAAAAAGAAGAAACAAAACTCACACTCCTGAGAAGAGTTTCTGAATTGTACCTTTCCACTCCATTCAGGACGTCGCTCGGCGACACGAGGAAGGTTTTCCTGTGTCCCTGCCCATCCCCACACGCCCACACCCCCCCTACAGAGGTAACAGAGCCAGATTAACACTGGGGTTTAAAAACACCAACTTCTTCCGTGCCCGAAATTGAGAGCAGATGGAAACTGGGGAACACCAGGAAGATTTCAGCGGGAGCACTCGGCAGGATCCGTTTCTCCTGGGTGGATCTGTAGCAGCCCTTCCCTCGGGCAGCACCACGGCACGTGCGCGACCGACCCGGGACCTCGCGGGGAATGTCCCCGGTGGTGCCACCAGCCACCTTTCCTCTCAGGTTCTGATGGACTTCTACCACCAAGGAATCACTTGTTCTTTTGGGGAAAAAAATAGAATTCAACTTGGAATTTTTTGCTCAGGCAGAACTTTCTGGTATTTACTTTTAAGTAGGGAGTTTTCAGTTGTATTTTTTTTTGGTCGTGAATGACCAAGGTTAATCTGTGTCAAGAGCAGGCTCTCTGTAAATTTACTTCCACTCATTTGTAATGCCTTATTTTCTTTCTATTTTTATGCCTAGCATTCATGTTTCTAAGATTTAAGTGTCCAGCTACGCACAGCACATTCAGAGGAGATGCTCTTTTCTATCTTTCAAGGTCTGAAGTATGAATGGAAATTTAAGAGACAAAAAAAAAGAGTTCAGGTTACTGTAACAGCAACTGTCTGTACATCACTCACTGTGCTGATCTCTGGCATCCACAGCTCTGGGACAATCCTACTGTCAAGGGGAATATGCTTAGCAGGATAACCTCTCTATTGAGCAACTCAACTGGAATTTTGGTGCGCACTGTGATTGACACTTACACTTACAGCAAGCAATATGGCAGGCTGAAGATCATCCATCCTCTTCCACATGCTCCAGGTCTGGCCAGCCAGCAGGAAATCCACACACGCACAGGGGAGAAAAAACAAAAAAATGGAAAAAAAAAAGGGAAACTTTTAACTTGGCTGCTTCACTCTGTGAAGGCAGGAGGCTGAGAGAACGTTGGCCACAAGTGTTGTGTGACCAGTCGCTGCAGGAGAGGTGGGAAGGAGGAATTGGAAACGTCAGCACCACTCCCTGCAAAACCAGTGGGCATCTCGTAGAGGAGAGCAGTGTAGAGTGGACAAGCACGGCACAGTGGTGTGCTGGGGGAGATGTCAGTGTTCCTTCATATCTTCATATTCCGAAGAAATACTCGCTCTTCCATGGAAATTCTCTTTCATGACTTTTTATGTAATGTTTGTGTCAAATATAAAGACAAGAAGTGTTTGATAACTGGAATAACGTATGTCCGTTTGATAGTGCTTTGTATGAACAAAGGATTCTTGTTCATCAGATGTTGGATTGAAATAATCCAAAGCAAAACTTTTAAAATAAAATACGATTTTAGGTGATCCATCTGAATAGTTTCTGAAGCTCTAACCTTTTATGTTTTATTTCCCTAGTTGGGAATCGAGCAGTGTGCTCTAACCATGGCTGAAGTTCTGCCTCTCTAAGGTAATCCAAAGGCTCACAGTTCACCACTTGTAAATCTGTCCTTCACCTCAGAGCAGTGGGACATGATCAAACTCTCTCACTTTTTCTGTCCTGGATATTCTGTTGCAATGAAAGTGATTCAATAATTAGAGTGCACTGTGACAGCAGGGAAAAAAAAATTGTTGTCTGTGTATGTATTTTGATACCTGTTCAAAAAGAGTCTTTGGGTTTCCTGTGATGAATACCTCATATGTTGGGTTTTGGGAGTTTTGTTTTGGTTTTGGTTTTCTTTTCTTTATTTTTTTTTTTTTAAGGCAAGATTGTTCTTGCACAAAAGTAGGTTAAGATAACCGAGTTCTCATGAATTTCCTTACCAACTCAAAACACTGCAGTCTGGCAAGAAATTCCATCTGTTGCAGTTCCCCACCTTGCACTTGGTCCAGGGTGAGCAGTTGCTTGGCCGTCCACCTGCACGCTTGGAAGAGCTCTAGCAATACTAAGCCAAAAGAGGTCCTTGCAGATGGAGTTTGCTGCCTTATTTCTCTTCTTCTGTGCATCAAAACCTCAGATGCAGTTGGACGTTGTGTAGGTTTGGGGATTTGTTAAGCATTTGAGAGATGTTCTTCGACAGAAATAAATGTCTCCAGTTAGCACTTCAGATCCTTGCCGTGCGTGTACCTGATGGACTCTGGTGGAGGGAACACTTCAAGGAGATTTTGCTAGAAAGGCAGCAATAATGGTGGAGAAATACCCATCCAGGCAATTAATCTGATGGACTCGGTAAGATGTGGAGCTGTCTGGCCAGTGTCCAGCACGTTGGTGAGCACAGGTTTGGGGTGAAGCCCAGGAGCAGCCCCTGCCCGTTACCCCTGCGGGGCAGTGGACCAGGTCAGGGGGACCTGTGCTTGGCAGGATCAGTCCTGGCTGGAGAGGGATGTGCTGTGAAATGTCACTGCATCGACCCACCGGCCTCTGAACTGCCTGTCCCAAACAGAAAATGAGTTCAGTAACCTGGGGTCTTATTTATTTTGAGTTTTTTAGTTTCCACAAAAATAACGAGGGGGTTTTGTAGCCTCATCTGGCCTCGGCCAACACCCCCCAGCTGCAGTTCCAGACATGAAGCAGTATCTTCAGCAGCCTGGTAGCACTAGAGGCCTTCACAGGAGGGAGTGATGCTCTCCCATGCTGAACACCACCCCCAGCAGGATGCTTCCAGCCCCCAGGTCTGGGAAAAGGCCGAGCACTTAGGGCACTCTGGACTGACCTTTGGGGTTTGAGCTCACGTGTCGCTTTCTGAGATAATCCTCTCTCCAGAGCAGCTTTCTGCTCATCTCTCTGTGTGTGACAACCTGGTACTTGAACAAAAATAATACTTGACCCACTGCCTTGTGCCCACCCAGGCTCTGGTGGCTCCGGGGTGGTCTGGGGCAGTGTCACACACAAGCAGCAGTGGCTGCAGGGGTGACTTTAATCAGAGAACCATTTAGGTTGGAAATCACTCGCTCTGCCTTTGCTGACCCGCCCCACCAGAAGGCGGATGAATTCTTTTCTAGGCTTGGTTCTAGGAGTCTCTTTTGGTGGCTCTAGAGATGCCAAAACAGCAACTCAAGTCCTGGAAAATGTAAGGTGGTTGTTTTTTTCCTATTATATTTTGTGCTTCCTATAACATAGTTTGAGATGAGAGTGTTGTTCTTCAACTATGGGCCAAAAAGAGGTGAAGGCACAGAGGGAG